GGCTAGAAAAACCACACCGTCGAAAGCTCCCCGCCGTCGACACGACGATTTGTCGCCGCTTTGAATTCCTTCGAAGCAATTTTCCCTTTTCCCGGGATAATATCGAGTAGGCGGCAAAGCACGTTTGTCATTTCTTCTGCATCGACGAGATTTTTACCTACAGGATTTCAATTCTATGCATCTGGCTAAATGTTTTCGCAATCGTGTCACCAAAGCAAGATTTTTTTTTTTTTTTTATATTATTCCTTTATGAAACGTTTCGTTTAATTCTTTCTATATTTTCGTTTTGCAACGGGTAAAAGCGATTCTCCCGTTTAAACCGCTCCACATATACAGAGCCTCCGGTTACATATTGGCTTAACATCCGACCGGAAGCTCGCGTGGGACTTAATACTTTACGAGATAAGACTGTACGTAGCGTATGTTTGTATGGTATTTTGTTTATTATGAATAGACATGTGCTCTGTTTATCCAGGCGACTGCGAAAACAAAATGTATCTGTTGTATATATTGCTTTTGTTTGAGGAAAATACAGTTATTCGAAAGATATATATTTTACGATATATGTAAAATTTCTTTCTTTCATCGCGTATGAATCTCTTTTTATCTATAAAATATAAAGTTGTTGTCCACGAAATTATCTCTTTTTTCACTTTTTAAGTCGAAGAAATGGAGGGGGCAGGTATTCTATATCGATTTTTCATGTAAGGACAGATAGATCGACAACCAATTTAATTGCTAGTCATGAAAAAATCTATAGAATCATTTTTTTTTTTTTAAAAAGAAACAATTTATTGTAAATTTTGAATCAATCCCACAATTGTTTCGTGCAAATTTGTGCACCAAATTGAAAGAATTCCCCAAACAAAGACCCTTTCAATTCAATAATTACCAATTGTGTGAAAAAATATATTTTTACAAGTAACTAAAATCTATTTCAAAATACAGAGTTCCATTCAATTCAAACTGTCCATCGTTCATTCCAAATAAATGCAAGAGTGATAGTAATAATAATCGAAAAAGTAAAAAGAGATAACAAGAGATTGGAAAATTTTATAAATCTTATTAACTCGTTTACGATTTCACCCCTCATTGAACAACGATCTCGCAAAAGGGCCATCGATTAGCATAGTTGAATCACAGAAGCGGCCACTGTTTGTAGACGCCCCGAAATTCTGGTAATAACAGAGCCGATAATGGACGATCGGTCGTCTGTCCGAAATTGTTTTACAAATGAATCAAGTCAACTGGCAATATATCAATTCGACCGGCAATTTGCCAGCCACTTTCCAACCTGTCGACTAAAAATACACGAAACGGGGGATTTATGAGGCGCAGATCGGTTTCATTCCGCGGCGGAACCTCGTTTTCGTTCGACGACGATTATTCCTCCACTTCCGCCGTCGTGACGTTCCAATCGACGTTTCGAGTCGATGTCAAGTTTCCATCCCGCGGATCGAACTTAGGAAGAGCGAGTGGAATCCGACTGGAAAACACTTCCTCTCCACTCCGCCTCCCCCTCTAGGCATTTGTAATTCCATCGTCCGTGAAAGTCGAAACCTCCTCCCCCCCTCCCCCTGGCTCCATGACGAGGCTTACAAGTCAAATATCGAGAATTTCATTTGAATGTTACCGCACCGCTTCCATCCTCTTCGATTGGCGAACTTTCGCCAACGAACGAAGGGTCGTCGAATTCGTTGCGGCTGAAATGAGAATGAGAGAAGTGAGTTTAAGAGTAATCGGTAGTTTCGCGAGCTTTGCAACGGTTAGAAGGGGAAATGGGATACGATTGAGGGGGAGAGGTAAATCGAAGGAATAAAGAATAGCAAGACGATGGACGAGGTTAGGATCTGTGTATGCGCTGATAATCGAGTAATGGATGATTGAGAGCGAGAAGAAGAATTATTTGTTGATTAATTTCGTTTAATTAAAGATCTAACAATAAATTTGTGCTTAAAAAGTAATGATTTTTTAGGATCTTGAAAACGTAAGCATGATTTTTGTTAAGAAGAAGTTTAACATTTGAAGTTAAGAATATTATTTAAAATAGTGTTTTTTTATAGGTATATAAAGATACTTTTCTTTTTTTTTACTCTCTAATTTATACGTACAATTTTAGTAACGAAAAATTATAAAGATGTGATAAATATATATTTCACTTTTTTTTAAAACTTCTCTGGAGGAGGTATAGGCGATTTACATTCTTTATAAGGAGGGCAATAAGTTTTACAATATTGTAATCGATCGATAAACACTCGGCACACGGTATGCGGTTCTTTCACGCATTTAAATACAATTTTACCATTTCTCGTGTATTGACTGAACGGTATATGCCAAATCATTTCCCACCGATAGCCTTGACATATTCTTGAACAAAAACTGTAGACAGGAGAAAATTTTATCAGATTAACTTATCATTTAACCATTCCAAATATATTATACAAGACGAGATTTATCTCCTGTTTAAAATTAATAATTAACACTTAAGTTATATTATTCAAAAAAGAGAAGTAAAGATAAAAGTATTAAATTCTATGTAAAACGATAAAGTAAAATATTTTTTTTTTTTTTTACAATTGAAAAAATATACGAAATTTCAAACGTGTCGAAAGTAAAATTCAACTCACGCCTGTTATTACAACGCGTAAATTTCAAACGCGTCATAAATGAAATTCGACTCACCTGTTGTTACAATCCATCCTGAATAATCGGAAACCACAATCGCGTGCCAAGTGCCAACTTTCCTGGATCAGTCTTTTCCCGATTCCCATTGATTGAAAATCTTTCCTTACTGCTAGACTAGCTTGTTCGAAGATCGTCATAACGCAAAATCGTTGCCAAAGTTTGGGCGCCTCCGAAACGAAGCCGAAAAATTCGATGAGATCGCGCATCGGACCTTCTGCGCAACATTTCGCTAAACAGTACATTTTTTCTGCATCGCTAGAGTCCACCACGCAATTTAAGGCAGCGCCAATGATGCAGTTGTCTCGATCCTCGGCAATAATCGAGTATCCCCCTTTCACTTGATCAAACATCATAGTTCTCCAAATAGGTGGCGCTTCTGTGCCCGCCAGACCGATGTTAATGATTAACGGTTCGTATTTGTAGTACGCTTCGCACATAAAATCTACTACGTTCTCGTAATCGGGCGGTAGAGCTAAACGAGTTCTGAAAAACGGTCTATCCTGGAAAAATGTTACCAAACAGTATATATAAAAGTTTCCAACTAGTATCAATAAAAATTCTGTTTTTTCTATTTTATGTATAAATTATTTATTAGAAATGCGTGTAGAATCAATTTCAAAGTATATTTTTATTTTTATGAATTATATGTTAAAATTTATGTGCATAAAATATCATAAAAATCGATATTTCAATAAAAATGATGTTTATGTAAAATTATAAAAATTGTCAGTAATAATTAACAATCAATTTAACATTGAAAACATTCAAATAACGATTTCGAAAAATAATTACGTTTTGGAGTAGTATTTTGCAATTTTAATGTAAATCTAAACGTCAACAAACGTGTAATTACATTTTTCTGTAGGTTATGAATGCAAGCATATTACAAATTAAATTTATAGTAGCAAAAAATGCACTTACGTCGCATTTCACTTCGAAATTTTTTGCTGTGGTATGAAAATTTATTTTTCTTTTTCCAATTGTATTGAATTTCGAAATGTGATTCGGATATTTGAGAATCAAACTTCCGTATATTTTCAACAGTGTCGCAGCCATTTCATTACGTTTCAATACTTTTTCCCGATAAAAATAACATTTTCTTTCAATGTACCTTTTTAAAATTATACCTAGCTTACTTGTAATCAATTCAAAAGTACTACTTGCGTACTCTCGATCTTGTGTTCTTTACGTATAGATTCGTATTCGATGTTCTAAATGTCAGCTCAGAGAAAATCAAACGTAACCTATTATTATCGATGAGACAAAATTCTCGCAAACAATAATTAATACGTCCGCACAATACTATATTAACACCATGATGAAATATTTGCCTCAAATTAATTCGATTACTATGGAATTGTTTGATTATTGTCGAAATAAGTAGACAGCGTGAATTATGTAGCATCAAAGAGGGCGCTCGAAAGCATTCGGGATTACTTGTTTTAAAATATGTATTATTTTCTAAGGCCAAGTTAATCTTCCTTCAATACTTGACATTTATCATTAATAATAAGCTTAGATAATTTACATATTTTGTTAATTGGACAGGAATATAGAAACAGAAATATTATTATATTATAGGAGAAATTTATCGATTGTATTATCATTATGAAATCTTTCGTGTACAACCAACTTTACTTCGAATATATGAAAGAGTATGTGAAATAATAATTTGAACAACGTTCTATTCATTTATAATCGTCGTGCATAAAATGACATGGCAGTTAGTAGATCAATTGATTTATGTATTACTCGCACCGCGTTTCATACTCAATATATTGAGTATCTATAAAGTGTTCAAGTAGAAAACTTAAGGGATGGTTCTAAAGAAATAACAAAAGTTAATATACATAATATAAGTTGTAAGTATTGACACATACTTTAAAAAAACGATAATTAATAATTTTTTTATATATCAGTAACTAATGTTTCCAATTTTTCAAAATAATTCAAGATATTAAGTTTAATTTTAAAAGAGTTATCGTATTTCTGATTTTATTATTAGATGATTAAATTCAATTCTGAAATTCATCAAACATAATTATTAAATAATATTTATCACTTTACCTTATAAAACATTTAATTTTAATAATTTATTTATCTTATCTATGTAAACTATTGTAAACAAATCTGATAAAACAAAAACTCAATGAATTATTATCCATTGTTAAGTTAAATGAGAATAAATTGATATCCTCGTAACAATTTAACATAATCACAAAAATAGCAAATAGTCATCAGCATTACATTTTCCTTATTATAAATATACATATCACATGTATTATCATAAATATACATAAGAATACATATAAAAATTTATTCGACTATATTTTCAACAAATATCCATTAAGCGTTCACCGTACTATAAATAAAAGCACACATGCTGGAAGAAGATAAATTTTTCTATCTATTCTAGAGGCGAATACACGAAGGCTATGCACCGTCGTGCTCGAATAAGGGTATAACGAGAGGAACACGTACGTTACAAAGCGGGCAGACGTGTTTGCATCAATTACCGTCTTTTATTCTCATTTCACCCGATACGCTGAAAGATTGCAATTTATCGGCGCAACAATGCCGAGCATTATTAATATCCATTAATCAAGCGGAGGCTTCGCTTGCTGACGCGCGAAACGATCCCGTGCACGGTCGAATTATCGGTTGCCCATCGTATAAATAAAAGCGGCAAGGGAAAGGAAAAAAAAAAAAAAAAGGAAAAAAGTAACGGAACAATACCGTTTCTGATGAACTGCAGGCAAAAATACGAGAGTATATTTTTGGGATCCACGCTTCTCCTTGTCGAATCGATGACACTCGAAATGAGAAAATTCTGGACCACGATGAAAAGGTTCGTGACTCGAGCAGGGGGCGCAGAAAAATGAACGAAAACACAGGGTTGGCGAATATAAACGAGATGTAGACCAGAGAATTGATTTTTCCTTTGACAACGAAGTACATGTTGTTTAACGAAAGAAAATTGATATCTGTGGAATTGTCGTACCGATTTGTATCCAGGCTTTTGTTATTGGGAATTTTTAACGATGAATCTTTGCCCCCCCCCTTGCCTTTCAAGAGTTTTTTGAAGGATGTGTGGTTGATGGGATATTGATTGGACGGTGATATGGATATTAGATGGGGTTGTTGACTGTTTTGTGTGTGATACAGGGATTGTAATAAATGATTTTGAATAAGTATGTATACGTGATTAATTATGAGAAGAAATGGAAAAGTTTGAAGAATTTGTTTCTCGATATTGGTAAATAAAATGAGAAAATTTGTATCGAACGAGAAGAAACGGAAATAAAATTACGAGAAAACTTGATTTTTAATTTGACATTGCACATTGTTGTAAAAAATAAATGTCATCCGTCTGGTTTTAAGTGTCGTGAATAAAATGTGATACAGAAAATGGAAAAATTAACAAAATATATGGAATAAAATATATTCATCAAGTGCGTATTGCTGGAAACATATTTCTGAACAATTTAAAATAATCATCGAAATATGAAATATAAAACACAAAACGAGAGGAATATTTTATATATATTAAATGCATCAACATTTATATTACATTTATACTGATATTAATTTCTGGAATAAAAATTTCTAGAATAATATTACCCTTTACTACAATACTTAACCTTTTTAATTAATGCACATTTTTTTTTAATCAGCTGCTTAAAAAATTACATGACATCAAATGTTGCCTAAACGAAATAATAAATAAAAAATGCGTGTTCATGGAACAAGAATCGATTAAAAAATAATTCTAATTTATTACAATAAATACACAATATACATTATCTTTGCAGACATATTGCCGAATTACTTACATAAGAATTAACACATTTTCATCTGATCGAAGCCAAAATTTTTACTGCCATTTTTATTTCTCTGCTCCCTGAGTCCTTGGAAGTTTTTAAAGAATCTATCCATGATGGATCTCATGATCTCTGGTTTCACCACTCGCCTGGGAGTTCCCCTGCTTCTGATGTTTCGCTTCATTGACGTCATCAGAATCGTGAGCACCACCCTTCCTGTATCTACCCTCGATGGCGACGTGCTTCTCGTTATATCGTCCATGTTTCTTCGAATGACCTCCCTGATCATCGTTCCCGTAAAAATCATGATCTCTCTTGTATTCGTCTTTGTGATAAACGTTTAAGTAACCAATTGCTTTACGATTCACGTGATCGTTGTTTCCCACCCGATAATTACCTCCTTTCTTACCTTTAGTCCGTTTTATTTTTTGCCCCGAATTCCTTCCTCGATTATGCTGAACATTTCTCTTTCCACCAGTTTCAACGTACTCAGTCCTCTTCTTCTTCCTCGAACTGTCCCCTTTCTGACCCTTTTCAAACGAAGATACTTCACGATATCCTTCTTCGTTACCCTCTTTTTTCGATTTCTTGGCCACTTGTCGATTATCATCAGCCTTTTCGACTTTAGGTACAACTTGAGAAACTTGGGATTCGGCGTATTTCAGTTCCATATGATCGACTCCAGGAGGTTTGACACTCGTATAATGGAGTGGCAACATTTCAGCATCCGGTTCCAAAGGGAGTGCAAATATTCGAAGATTCTTGCGAGGTTCCTTTATGGGGATCAGTTTCTTCTGAAAGCTCATTTCAACGGATGGCTCATCATCAACTATTTCTATGAAAGCTTGTCTCGTCTCGATCCCTTTCTCGCCTGTTTCCCAATTATCAGGATGTAGATTGTCGGCTCGAGCAATCGTAACTGTGAAATGCACGCAGAATACTGCGTGAACTGTGTACCATTCTCTTCTGAAGATTCTCATTTTTCTTCGTCACAACACCTTTATGCTTTAATCTTTTTCCAAAATTTTAAAGTTAAATTTAAATTGTACACATTTCGGATGGATAGATTGTTTCAGACGCAGTTACAGGTATGTTGGTTCACAGAAACGCGTTCAATTCTACTGTAATCGCGGCACAATCCAGCTCTTTTATACGTCATGCGACCCACTCTAGTGATTGGACACGATTGCCTCTCGCCCAGGATTATTGACGAAGTAATACATCTGAAAGGACAGGCTCGAAGATATCGTGATGAAATTTTCACTTCGCGTGGCTTTACGTAGTCGTATCAAACTTCCAAAATCTTGGTTAATCTTGTTTTCGATGTTCCTTTGCGACTTTGGAGAAACTGGGCTATCCTTGAAAGGACAGGTGTGGCGGGATTTAATAAACGATAGATGTTTGAGTCACTTTTGTCTTTCGTAAGAATTGTGGTTTCTCTTGTTTGGGATATCTATGAAAATTAATTTTAAAAACCTGTATTCAATAATGGATATTCCTATTATTGCATAATAAGGTATTTAATTATTTAAACTTTGCTTTTGATCTTTAAATCGTTCATCAATCGTTAAATTCATTAATTTGAGTTATTTCAATTTATAGTATAAAATATTATTGTTAATATTTCAATTAAATGATCAATACTGCATATCAGTATATTACTAGAATTTCATTATATAATAACAGTCTTTCTATTTTAATTAGATTCATCGTGTTTTGTATATCGTTAAAATTAGTTCTAACTTTTTTAAAAATATATTAAAATTCCGTGTTTGATTTTGTAACACCAATCAAGCATTAAATAATTGCTACTAGTTTCCTCTTCACGCCTGTCAAATAAATTTACACGAAATACCGTGTACAAACAGTCTCCCAGTAAAAACTCTCCATAAACTACATTTCACATTTTGTATATATACTTATGCTTAAGAATCTTTCCTTACAAAAGTTTTCAATCCAACCATTAATAAATTTAAATCATTTTTACCACTGCCACTTATTTAACATTAACATCCTAAATTCTTTAAATCCTATCCTTCAGAATTGGAATATCAATGCGATTCAAAAGCGATCTCCCATACCAAATATTATTTTTCGAAATTCTTGAAGGCATTATCCATTCTTAAGAATCGCGATCAAAATCACCCATGGAAAGGATCGGTGATCAATTGGTCACTGCTCGGGCCAGCCGCATGGTGATGCATTACGCAAATCACCCATGATTCCCTAGAATAATCGGCGAACAGGCCGAGCATAAACGTCAATAACACGGTGTACTTGAATTATCGGCCGTGGAATACTCTCGGTTCCGCTCCACGATCCCTTATTCCCGACGAATCACGTTTCTCGCGTGTATGGTATATATATAAGGCGAGACCGTCGATTCACGGACACACCAGTTTGCATACCACCGATTTCTCGAGAGCCCGTGATCTCTCTCTCTCTCTATATATATATATAAAACCATGCCTTCGAGAGCTACGTTTCTCGCGTGCGTGTTTCTTCTGGCTCGCCAATGCGGCGCAGCCCCGGAGCAACGTATGACGTTTGTGAACAAGATGATCGCCGAGGATCTAGATAGGTCCGCGACCGGTTACGTGTACGATCAGCGACAAGGAGTTCCGGTTTACTACGTGCGGTACACCAATCACGGAAGTGGACGGTTCTATCATGCGCCGGCCGCCGTGCAATACGTTGTCGAGGCTACACCTGTTGCGCACCTCGATGCTCCCGAAACGAATCTGCATCCCTACGCGGTCGCGAACAGTGTCCCGAGCTATCAAGGAACGAGTAATTACGATAACGAGCAATCGTTGGAAGGTGAAGTGGCGCGCGATGGATTGTATCACGTTGATGGAAAAATAGCCGTGAACGAGAGGGATGACGAGGGAGAGGAGGATGGAGGGGGGGATGGTGACGAGGAGAAGGATGAAGAGGAAGACGAGGAAGGGGAGATTCAGGATAGATCTGGTGGATCAGTGAAACTGTTTGGGTATGGGGGTTACGAGGACGAGGAGGAGGTTGGTGAAATCTCTTCGGATGATGAGAGTGGCTCGTTCGAAACTGGAAAGGGGGAGAGGTATTCGGAGGATGGAGGGAAAGGGGAGAAGGGATACGGGACTTGGAAGGAGTTTAGCAAAGGGGAACGTGGTAACAATGATGATGAACGTCGAGAAGGTGAGTTTTTTTTAAACGTGACGATTATTGGAAAATTATTTTTGTTCTTACTTTGATTATTTCTAAGAATGATAATCTGGTTAATCTGGTGTTCAGATTATTTCGTAACGTGTTAAGAAATAAAATTTTCTTTCTGAAAGTAAAGAAGTGTAGAAGTAAAATTATATCGTTTATCCTTTTAATCGATCTACACTCGAGAAATTGCCCTTAAATGTCTGCCAGGATACTATAAGAACAGAAGTGAGGACAGGAAGGGACACGTCGACGAAGCTGAAAATCACGGTTCTCACGAGGAGGCAGAGAGAGGCAAAAAGGGCAAGAATTACGGTCACTCGTCTTACCATAAGAAGGGGCACAAAACTAATGGTTTCCACAATGTCTATCACAAGGACGAATACAAGAAGGAGACGGACTTCTACGACGATGACCACAAGAAGGGTGATTTCGGCGAATACCAGGAATTCGACAAAGGTTACAAGATCGACGAGGGTGATTTTAAGAAAGGAGGACATCATTCTTTTGGGAATGATTATCAGAATCGCGGAAAGAAAGGACATTACGATAAAGGACACCATGTAATCGAGGATCAAGGTCACCAGGCAGAAGAAAGCGAAAAATCCCATTACGAGAAACACGAGGATTATAGTGTCGCAGAAGATTCGAAATCAGACAGAGCGCACGAATTTAATAGGAAAAATCGTTAATCGTCGTCGTAGCATCTGAAATTTTATGAAAATTCTATTATTATATTTTTATATCTCATTAATCTTATATTAATTATATATTAGTATACTTTGATATAATTAATAATATGTTTATAATTGAAGTTTTCATATTAATTTAATTATTGATAAGGAATATTAATTATTCCTTCATAACTGAGATAAAAACTGGGTGTTATTTAGTAGGGATAAATAAAAAGCGATTGGAAATATGAAATTTAAATTGTTGCAAAGTGAAAACTTTGTTACCTAATAGAATGAAATAACTTTTCCAGAAAGTGTTATTGACCTAATTTTTTTTAGGACTAGTATACTGCAATGTATTTAACGCAAAAAGATAAACCATTGCAAATCAATACTGATATATTTTGTAATGCGTCGTAGAGAAGAAAATTGAGAAATAATCAATTTCAACATTTGTCATATATTTTACTATTTTTTTTTAAACATTTCAAAAAAGTATTTTACAGAGATATTTATTAATTGATACATTTCTGGCAGAGAATTTGTTTATCGTAGAAACCTAAATATTTTATCAATACATTAACTATTTGAAGTGTATTGTAAATATTTTACTATTTTATCTTTCAACAAATCTATCTGAAAGATTCAGGTATCATAATATTTAGTTTATATTTTAGCTTATATAATATTTGATTTGATTTATTGCAAAAAATATTTGACTACAAAATAACTGAATAACAGGAAGGAAACATGAAAAAATCGTTTCCAAAAATACATTTATTTTCGATCAGATACAAAGATCAACGTAACACAGCGTTCAACAAACATAACAATCGATAAAAATCATTCTTAATGCCCTTTCTTAAATCCCCATGATTTGTGATCATCGTGTCCCCCTTTCTTCCCATGATGAGAATGATGAGAATGATGTTCCTCGTGTCCACCTTCGCTCTTATGTCCTTTATCATCGTGATGATGGTGCCCCTTCTCGAAGTGTCCCTTCTTCCCATAATGATCCTCGTGCTCCTCATGATCGTGATGTCCCTTCTTGAAATGTCCACCCTTCTTGTGCCCGTGCTCGTGATGATGGCCACCGTGATCCTCGTGGTGTCCTGAATCGTGGTGTTCGTCGAAGAATTCCTTGTCTTTCTTGAACTCGTCCAGTTTATGAATCTCGTGATGTCCTTTCGTTTTGTGCCCCTTCCCATAATGCCCCTCCTCGTGGAATTTGTGACCCTTCTCCCCCTTCTCCCCCTTATGATGCTCCGCGTAATAACCATCGTCGTGATGATGGCTCTTCTTGTGACCCTCGTCCTCGTCGTAATGACCGCTGTGATGATCCTTGTCGTGGTGTCCCTTCTCCCCTTTCTCGTGATGATGAGACGATTTGTAACCCTTGTCACCGTGGTCACCGTGCTTGCTATGGTGATCGGAGTGGTGCTCCTCACCACCGCCCTCCTCGTGGTGATGATGAGTCGCGGCCACGGCTAGGTCATCGTACGATCTCTTATCGATCTCTCGAGCAACGATCGAGACGAACTGGCAGAGGACAAACGCCAACAGTAGAGAAATCGCGAGTCGAGACTTCATGATGGTGGGGGGGTGGGTGATCGGTAGGGATTCGATCGATGGTATAATATCGAAACGTTCGACTCGGACGCTGCGTTCGGTATGATTAATCCGGCTATCACTCCCGGATTATATATCGAACGGGAGAATAATCGATATTAAGGAAGCAGTGGTTCCTGCCTCTTTGCGAAAGTTGCGAAAGTAACGTCTCCTTAACCCGCTCAAGGCTTGGCGATTCGTCGATTTCGATCGGTCCAACGCGGTTATGCAACGCCTGCTCGAGATCGGTTGCTTAAACTTAACGGGTGAAATATCTCCATGTAAACATTACATTTCTTGCTTCCATTTAAAGCTTTTTCTACGTTGTTGTGTAGACAATGTGTCTTTTCGTAATGATCGATTTTCTAGGCAAATCTGGATTTTAGACTAATCTTTGTTGCCACGAAAATTGTTTCGTTATATTTAATAATTTTTCTCTCAACACCTTTCGACAGATGTGAACATTTTTGGTCATGTTAATGGAAGTCGATCCATTGATTTTGAATATTCATCGACAGACGTGATCGTCTAAATCTAACAGTGAGGCAGAAGAAAATAAATAAAATTGTATTAACAGGAACATACTTTTGTTGTTCATCGACCGCAAAATAGATAGAACGATTATGGCTCCTTTTAAGAAATTCCTCGACACGGTTGATCTCTTTGTCTTACGATCAATGTAATCGCAATATCTGACCGAACACTTTAAATTCATTCCCTCGTTATCTTCATTTTCAATTCGTAGAACGTAAAATGGTTAATAACAAGAGAAATGTAATGAGGGATAAAGGAAGTTCAGGTAATAGTCGAATCGATGAGCAATACCATTGAAACAAATTTCAATTCGAATAAATTTCATTTTATGAAATTAATTTCATAGGTTTTATATATGTATATTCAGTGTGTAATAGATTCTAGAATATTTAAGAGATTAGGATACGGTTTGAATTTATACAGTATTGATACAATCCAATTCATTTATAAACTTATCAATCCTTTCTTTAATTTCTATTGGGACATCCTATTGATCTCTTTATTTATGCTTGATGGTAATAAAATTTATGATTTAAATAAAATTCATCGAAGAAAGGAATTTATCCCGTCGTTTGGAAAATTTCGATTTAAATTTGATTCACATATCTTTTTGTTCGTTAATTGAAATAATTTCTGCCTAATATTGAATCGGGAACGAAAGCGAGAAACTATTGTTGCAGAAAGAAGTTCGGTGAACGGTGAAAATAATATTTTCATATTACCGGCTGTTTTGTAATAAACGTTCTACTGTTATTCAGCCGTCTACAAATTGATTGGCTTTTTATCGGGATTGCCGCGTTAGCGATGCTTGATTTGATTCTGTACTTTCCACGTTACGAGCAAATAACATTAATTTATTTCACAGCTAATTGCTTTGTAGGCCGAAAATCTCCGATTATTCTTATTTATTTAAAAAATATACCCCTATCTTTATTCATCGTTCAATATCTTAAAAAATATTCCTTATCTTTTATTATTATTCGAAAGCAATAACGAATCATCTAATATATTTTTCATTTTTTATATTCTCGATATGATTCAAAGGTTTCAGCCTTCTATATTTTATAATATTCATATTATATAATGATTAAAATATAATTGATCGTAAACTCTTCTTTTGAAAGAAATATCTTCATTTACATTTATTAAAATTCGAAAAATGATTATATGCGTTATTATTGAGATAAAGTTTTTGAATAAAAAAGAATAAATTTTTTCTTTAAATGTTATTAAATCGTATTAAAGTATCTTTTTCTAAAAAAATGTTATAAAAAAGTCTTATAAAAGACAGACTATTATTATCGATAAGTATCGATATAGAATAAAACAAGAAAAGAGCATTGATGTTGAATATTACTTTTACATTGAGATATTAATAGAGAATAAGTAAATAGATAAAAAGAAAACGTACAAATTAAAAAGTATCGAGTAAAAACGAATGAAAAATTGAAAATGGAGTAACGAACAATAAATATAAATGAAATTGATATCGAAGAAGTGAAGAGTGAAGGAATAAAATTTTGAGCAACACTCGATACTACTGTTTACTATCAACAAGCGTACGAACGAAAGCGATTACGTATGAAACGCCACTATAACGGTAGGTATATAAGCATTGCTTTAAAGCGATTTGATCAGTCGACGATAGCACTCGTTGGTATACAAAGGATCCAATATGGCCAAGAGTTTGTGGCTGTGCCTCGGCCTAGCCGTGATTTGCACAATCGTCTCTCAGTCCACAGCTAGGGAGTTGAGAAACAGAAGGGATCTCGATATGGCAGCTACCCATCATGGTCATCATCACGAGGAGGGTGGTGGTCACGAAGATCATGGACACCACGATGAGGAGCATGGGGAAAAGGGTGAAAAGGGGTACAAGCATTATCATCATCACGACAAGGGTGATCATGGTCATTACGGTAAGGATCATGACGAAGGTCATCATGAAGAACATGGTGGTCACAAGAAGGGACATTTTGACGAGCATGAAGAACATGGACACCACCATGAACATGAAGAGGGACATAAGGGTTCAAAGTTTGGGCATAAAAAGGGTCACAAGAAGGGTGAAAAGACTCATGGTTATCATCATAAAGCTCACAAGGATGAATATCATAAAGAGCACAAGTTCTATGATGATTACCATAAGGGTGGTCATCACGAGAAACATGGAAATCACCATGGACACCATGAGAGTAAGGAAGGTCATCACAAGAAGGGCGGCCATCACCATTCCGGCCATCATGAGGATCATCATGGAAAGAAAGGTCATTTCGATAAGGGACATTATGACGAGGATCATAAGGGTTACCATGGAAAGCATGGGCACGATGAACATCATTCGCATCACGAGGATTATGGCAAAAAGGAAGAGCATCATGGAGGGAAGAAGCATGGATATTCGAGTGGAGGTGGTGGACATCACCATTAAATAGAGCAGCAAAAAATAATACAATTTATTATTTTGTTGCTTAAATTGTTTTTTATTCTATCGTTGATTAATTTTAAACGTTGAAATTTAAAATTCGTCATGTTTTATTTTAATAGTAAAATTGTCCTCCAATAATTAAATTTTATTTTTATTCGTTGAAATATATCCTTTTATATTTTATAGAAGATTTTATGCCTTTGAAATCCTGCATTCTTTTTAATTTTGTCAAACAAAATCGTGTTCTTTTATTCTCATAAATGATTTCCTTTGAAAGATGAAATTCACACCATCTTTCGATTCCTCTCTATATACTGCAGAACGTAAGTTTCAAGATAGGGGAATCAATAGGTTTGCACGTGAATAGTTTCAATGACTACACATTCCTCGTAATGCAATCACACTTCAGTTACAGCTATTATGACATAGTAACGGAAACAATGTAAAGCAATTTGGATTCCAGAATTAATAGACTGGATTGATATAGATCCTTCCATAAATAACTGTCTATATTCAATGAAAATTGATATAGAAATATATTAACTGATTTTTACTGCGTTTATGTACTTTTTTAATAACTAAAGTATTGAATTTCAATTTTTTGAATAATGTAAGTATTGCGAATCCGACATAATTTCATTTTTCAAGAAAATAATGAATGAATTAAAAAGTACGATTATCTCTTTAATCTAACATAATCTCTAATCTAAGTATTAATGTTGCATTATAAATATTAAATGATTTTTTTCGAAACAAAAACAAAATTTGAATATTATTTAAATCTGTCACTACTTTTTGTTACGCATAAATCAGTACACAGTATAAAATAGCATAAAATTAACGACATATAGTTTAACAGAAACCGATCTTATTTTAATGTAAAAATTTCAATATTTGTTATTAAGTATAATGACAAAATAAAAAGAATGAATAACAAGGAATGTAAAAATACATTCTTTGAAATCTTTGAAAATCTTTTATAAATGTAGAAGGACAATGTGACGATCATCCAGAAATATTATATATTAAATATTATATATCTAACACTTTATTTTGCTATATCAAAACAATTCTATTACCCACTAGATCTACCAGACTCATCTTACATCTATCTAGTCTAAATATTAAACAATAACGCAAAAAACAATTCGTGACTGAATCGTGGCAAGATATATTGGAATTTCGCTAACGGAATTATATAATTTTGTAACAATAAAACATTCGAATTCACACAATAACTTCCGCAACAAGTAGCAAATGAATTCTCTGTAGCATCACAATGTGGACCAGATCAGATCAGGCCATGTTCTCCTCTTTCACAGACATTCTTGTATCCGTTGGTAACGTTTTGCACATTTTTCTTAACGATGGCGGCCGGTGGTGCATAGAAAGATACCACAAGTGAAAGACATATAAAAGTTAGATTTTCGTGTATCATATCGATTACAAGAGTTAGCTAGTTTGCCGTAATATCACCGGTTTCGTCCACTTGTCGCACAACGGACGAGTAACAATTCCCAACTAATATTCGAGCGAACGAATTCTTTGCGACTGACTGTTTCAGAAAAATTTATTCACACGCGAATACGTTGTACGATAAAATTTCGAGCTAACAGGTAAATAGAATGATAACCGCGAAATTTACTGTAAAGTGTTCACTTTAACTCGCAATATTGGAATATTCTTTGAAGAAGTGAAACTATTGAAAAAATTTTCTTACGAAAATTGTTTGAAAGAATAATAAAAAGATACATTATGCGGTTTGAGATTTTCAATAAATAAATATGCAGAGATCACATAAAGCTGACATACTCACAATTTTTTTTTAAATAGTATAATTTTTTAATAATAATGCATCTCGTCGTTTCTTATAAATCATTTATGTTAAAAACTCTTTTTTTCATACTTTTATCATACGTACAATTATATTATACATCTTAACTTTAATTTTTCACGTTAATTCATCTTCAAGAATTACAGCAAGACCGACTGAAGTGCAAAAAGTAATTTAATACAAAGTAATATTTATCAAAACTTCACGTCGAATCGTAAAAAATTCTTATTATATTATATAGTCTCTCTATTTCTTCTCTTCGAGCCGCATGAGATATAATTTTCAAACTTAATTTGTTCAATCCATAAAATAGAAACGAGTCCTTCCCTTCGTTTCAAACAATGGATCACTTCAGGTAAGAAAAATACGAGGCTGCTAATCGCGAATCAATATGTGCTTTTCCCATCAACTATCCAACTTTACAAAATACACATTTGTGCCCTTTTCGAAAAATAGGAAGCCGGAGATTAAAGAAAACCGATATGTTTGCCGTACGTGAAACTCCACCGATATTGATACTACTGGCTATTTTGGCGCCCACGAGTTTCACGGCTAGTATTAATTACGAGATCCTCGAACCGATCGATACCTTTCGTTCGAGGAAGATGATAGAAGTTACGCCATTCACGAAGAC